GCAATAAATTATGTATTAAAACATATTAAAGTTTGAAATTCCCCGGGAAAACTTAAATAAATAATTGAGGCCCCTATAAAATATGTATGTATTCAATTACAACTAAAAGCGTACATACTGCAGCTTAATTTAATAAGTGCACCATAAATCATTGATAATGAGCAATATGCAAACTAGTCCTACGCATTTTACATTTTCTCTTTTTTTTTAATTTATTATTATATATAAATATATAAATTTATTTATTTGCGTTTCGCCCTAATTAAATGAAAATGAATTATTTAGAATATTCTTTGCTATTCTTACATACAGATTAGGTATCCAGTTGCGATATTTAAATATTAGCGCAATTAGAAGGCATTATCCGTACAGTGGAAATTATAACGTGCACTTACTTACTTATCTAAATTCCAGCTGATTTATGTTCGGTATTCACACACCACATGGCGGAATCAATTATAGAAGGAACAAATTATAAAGCTATTTCATAAAAAAATGAAATAAATTCAATTACATGTCAGTGTATTTATTTTCTTTTTAATTATATTAAATTGTCCGTTCCATTTCCGAATTGGTTTTGCATTCGCGTTTTAATGGTCGGAATTTAATTACGCTTTATTCTGCATGGAAATAGAACATTTGTTTAAATATCGAAACGCGTAAATATTTCATATGGGTCGGTATTCGTGCAATTTACGGCGCCAATTCGATGCAAAAATTAATTGCTTTGTATTTAGTCTAGACGTGTGTTTATGGGTTTTCTGTATGTTGAATTGCATTCTTTGATTGTCGTTGTTTAGTTTACATTTAATTTGTTGTGAATAATGTTGATTGATTAGCTAATATAATTTAATGTTTTACAAAAATAACAATTATATTTTTATTTAACATATTTAACTATACCTCGTTTTACACGGTACTTTCTTTATACGTTTTCGCTTTTACAGGAATATAAAATAAATGTTGAAAATAACTTATTCCTCTTTTTATACGGTACTTTCTTTACTCCTTTTCCCTTTTACACGGTTTTTTGTTTATCAATTTACTAATTACATTCCTATTACAAAGTTATATTGCATGTGATTTCATAACGAATGAAGTTAAAATTACGTAAATAGAAAACAAAAACATGGAAACGTTTATATAATTACACATTAAACTGAGTAATTCGATAAAAGCAATCATTTTACAACTTTTTTATTACAAAATTTCAACATTAAACAAGTAATTAATTAATTGGCGAATCATTATTTTAGAAAATCAAATATATATCATACAATTTTTGCGCATTTATTAGATAACAAATGCAAATAGTGTACTAAATATTCTACTCATAACTCAAAAATAATCTATTCTTTAAGTGTTTTCAATTAAATTATACAATTACTTTATGAACTTACTTACCTTATATTTGCGCCTTTTATTTTATTTTTTTTATAAATAATAACAAATGTTATTAATCTGAACATTATAACTACATAATTTATGATTAAGATAAAATAAAAATATTAATTCAAACTATTGTATTTTAATACTCTCAAATTTTCTCTTATTCTAAAACTATGAAACATTAAAAAGCACTTAAATAAAACTTTCACAGTGAAAAGCATTGTATGGTGTGGATGTAAATCTCTATAAATTAAAAAATGTAGTAAAAACGTATGAATAATGCATCTTGATGTGAGCATTCATATGTATATCATTTTCTTTTCGAATATACAACATAATAATCCGTCCATGTCGGTGTTGTTGTGCAATAACTCCGGTGACAACAATGGTCTTTTCGTTTCGTTCCAACTGGGCCATTTCATACGGAACAAGTAGATATTGTTGACGGTTGCTTTCGGAGCGATGATATCATCCTTCGGCCGTTGCAACAACCGACGCACATTTTCGAATTGATCTAATTAAACACAATTGCAAAAGTTTTTTTTTGCACAATTACTACCCGATGATTGCTCGTTGACGTAGCAGGAAGTCAAACGGTTGATCAATCAATCAATCAATCAATTTCGACTGCTCCTATCACTACTGTCTCGATCTGTCTTTGAGTATATCTCTGCCTCATTGTAGACATAAATACTTTACAAGGGTTGGGTGATCTCCGGGAAGTAAAAGGGAGTCGCCTTGAAGTGGAAGCCTTCGGTTTTCTTCGAATCGTTTTGCTGCTGCTGTGCTATTGCTGTTAAACGAAAGTTAAAAGCTTGCGGACACGAATAAATATATCTCTTTATACGTACAATTCTCCAAGCTTTCAAATAGCGAGGAAGGAAAATAAAAATAAAAGAAGAATGACACGGAGGGAGCGAGAAAGGAGACATGCAAACAACGAACGTTTGCAATTGTATTCGCCGGTCGGATTTTACTCGGAATCAACACTTTCCTGTTTCGGGCTCAAGGAAAATCGGCTAATTCCATGTTTATGATTGAGCGAAACATGTAAATTGCTGGTGGATAGAGCAAGAATCTTGTCAATTATGGGAGAGTATAGGAATCGACGTAATAGCGATACGTTATCAATTTGACGTGTATGATCAATCAGTGGACACAATGGCTGGGTGTAATGTTGTTTATGTGGACAGGACCACTTTATGCACACCGCCGTACACATGCATCTATGTGTATATATATAAACATTTGTGTGTGTTTGTGTGTGAGCGGTTAATAAAAGGAAATTGCATATCTTATTGCAATTGCATAGCATTGAATTAAACCTTCGCGGTGTTTCCAATTTCTTCGTTGCTCTTTTTCCTGGTCTTCCCTCCGCCGACTTCTTCCTCTTTGGATGCCGCGCTCAATTCCGGATGGTCATTTGATGCAACATAAATTTATCCGGTGGGACTCTTAAACATCACAATCACTTGGTGTGCCTGCAATACATTCCGAACATCTGATTGATCGTATCAATTTCGAACCGGGATATTTGTTTCAATGAAAACTCCTTCTACTCCTCCTCGTCTTCTCATTCCTTCCTCCATCTCCTCATCATCTGCTTCGTCTTATTGCACAAGAGATTTTCAATTACGTTTCTTGCGGAACCTTCTTCCTCCTTCTTCTTCTTCTTCAGCTTGCTCGATGCGCGTTTACCAGTCCAATCAGATGGTCATAACAAACCAGTCCGTTTTGATCAATCTACTTTATTCGCTGGTGAATTTAATGCGGAATGTAAAAACGATAATAGCCGTAATATTATAATCAGGATTTTATCGCAGCAGCACCTCGTTTCTTTTCATGAAATTATCGCAAACGCGTAAGGAAGAACTCGATCCTAATTATAATAACTGCCTTGAAATTCAATCTATAATGCATCTTTTTATTGATATAAAAAAGAAAGCTTCTTGAATACAATAATCTATTTCTTTTTTGGATCGTCAATGTTGCCTCATCCGTGACATTTCTTTCTTTCTGTTTAATAATAAACATTATTATAATGTGCATCCAATGATATTGATCATATATTTCTTTTTGAATTTCAATTTATTATAATTTGTGTAAAGCTTATATAAACATTTTGAAATTAAATAAATCAAAGGATTCAAATCGCTGACTCATTCGAAATTTTAATTAATTATATAACACATTATATTAATTATTAATTAAGATTGAATATTTGAATTTTTTAACTTTATAAAAATTAATACAATTATCATTTTTAAATTAAATCTAGAATAATGTACAAAACAATTTGTATATACTTGAATTTTTAATTGGATAGTAAATGTTAACATTGTTTTAAATGAATTAATTTAATAAGATTCAAAATTTGATCTACCGAAAAAGGAAATACTTAATAAATAAAAACAAAATGTTTGAAAGTGCGTTAGGAACATGATTTCCGTATAAGATAATATTAAAAAGGAAAAAATTAATTGATTTTTCATCCAGTCATCCGATCTGATTATGTCGATATCATAGGAAAGAGTTAATAAGCAAACAAAGAACGATGGAATAATGAATCAATTAAAATTAATTAATATCACCCTATGGTAGAAGAGAGAAGCCAGTTTACAAATTGAGCAACGTTCCATTTTATCTCCGGACAAGGTTCCACTCCACTGATCGAATTAATTATTTGGGGAATAGGTATGGGGCCGCGTTACGCAACGCATTAGGACCGTTTAAACCTTAGGAGGATTCCGACGATCAGAGGGTGCACCTGAATGCTTCTCTATCGGTTAATTATTATAATTAATCGGCTCGGAAAGAAACGTGGGATGAACAAAAAAAAAGAAAACGAATTGAGAAAATAAATCTAAAGAAACGCATATAAAGAGGACGAAGGAACGAACGTGGTTACGCCCACTCCTCCTCAGGTAGCGGCATAATGGATAATGGATAAGGTGTGCATGTGCGTTATAAATCATCGCACTTAATTGTTATCGGTGTTGCCTAATTAATTAGAGAAGCCAATCTGCCAATGGGAAGAGAATTCGGTGTGTGTAGTATGATACTCTTGTAGCATGCAAATGAGGCCGTGTTCCATGGACAATCTTACATCGATTGTTGGCTGCACTCGCCACGGCCGACCCGAATTCGGAATTGCAACTACTAATCCGTCTCTCCTTCCTTCCTCCTTCCAATCTGCGTTTATTATCTTGCTGATTTTTATGCGTTCCCCCATTTGCATTTTACGTGCCATAAATTTCTGCCCAACGAGCGGAGCTCCAAGAAAATCAAGTATAAATTACGAAGCCTCCTTCGTAATTGTTCTAACAAATAAATTATCAATTATCGTTCACTCCATTCACACACACACACAAACATATAGACGAGTACAACACGCTCGGAGTACAAGTATTTACAGCCGCCTTATTTACCTGGAAATCTGGTATAAGTGTTGCGAGAGCGTTGTACATTTCAGATCTAATCTCCGGTGATAGTTGGACTTCCTTTGAACATGTCGCGCCCACGCCTCCTGCAAATAATTTTTGAAAATATTTTAATTGGTGTGGAGATTCCATGCAATATCTAAATGCAAGCCAGAATCTGTGCCACGCGGAATGGGCTTCTCCTTCCAGCCACTGCCGCAACATCAGCAGGCCATGGTATATGCTCTTTTCGAGAGAACTTTCCCGATATGCTCGATGATAACATTCAGCAACAAGGAGTTCTGGCATTCGTGCGTGGTGATTCCGCTGTTCTTCGATAAGATAGGTGGTACACACTACACTAGGTAGTATTACTATAGGTGTTTGTAACAGAAACCCATGAACGCTGCACAAACTACCATAAATAAAACAATTAAAAAACGATTAAATTTATTATTATCAAAAAGAGAACGAGGATAGAAAGACACATGGTATTCTCAGGTGAGCCGCATCTCGAATGTTAAAACGGCCAGGCGACCGTGGAAATTATGAAAATCCTCAGCACTTTGTGGATTTTATTTTCGTTCACGCCACGGATTTACATAATTATTATTATTATCTGCGGCGCTCAATTTCTCCCCGTTATTATTTATTTCCATTTACTGTCTGATGTTATAGAATCTAGAATAAACAACAGAAATAAATAAATGCGGGGTGCAGTATGATGAGATGAAATAATCGTTAAAAAGTTACATTTGACACGGTATAATTATTGATTTTTCAGGATATTGAATTAACATGGACAGCACGATACCGGGAAACAAGGACCACAAGGGCCGCATGGACCACAAGGTGAACATGGGCCACATGGTCCGCATGGACCACAGGGACCGCATGGACCACAAGGACCGCAAGGGCCACATGGACCACAAGGTCCACACGGTCCGCAAGGACCGCACGGTCCTCCACAGGGTCCAGGGAAGGGAAGCACCGGCGAGCAAGCTCCACATGGAGGTCCACAAGGTCCGCAAGGTCCGAATGGGCCACATGGAGAGCAAGGTCCGCAGCATGGTCCACAAATTGGTCCGCAAGGTCCACACGGACCACAAGGCCCACATGGACCACAAGGTCCACATGGACCGCAAGGCCCACATGGACCGCAAGGACCACATGGGCCACAAGCTGGAGCGCAAGGTCCACAAGGTCCGCAAGGTCCACAAGGTCCGCAGGGTCCACAAGGTCCACACTAATAAACAAAACAAGAAAACATTAAAATTACTTGATGTGATTGCTTGATGATTTCAAATCTTAAATTAAATTTAAGCATAGCCCTTTGCAAAGAAATTTTTATTTAATTATGTTGTCAATGATTTCATTATCACCATTCAATCACATTAAGCATTGCGTATGCGAGGAATTTTTACCTACCTCAAGGCAACAAATAATACTAAAAACGACGCCTGAGCAGAAACTAGAAAACTCAAGATAAATAACATTTATTCTGTGTTTTGTTTACATATCTTCCAAAACAAAAATTACAAGGACGTTATATAAGAATTGGACATATGATGATAATGTTAGCATGGACAACATGTTAGCATGGGCAAGGCATACAGGGCATACAAGGACCGCAAGGTCCACAAGGTCCGCAAGGGCCGCATGGTCCGCATGGACCACATATTGGTGCACATGGCCCACAGGGACCACACGGACCACAAGGTCCACATGGACCACATGGTCCGCAGACAGGTGAACATGGTAAGCATGGTGGACACGGACAACAACCACCGCCGCCGCCGCCACCTCCGCATCGACCACCTCTACGGCCGCCGCTGCTGAATCTATCGTAGATTTTTTGGAATGTCAAAAGAGCAGGCTCGCAGCTCGCATCCGGCAATGTTAAACAGCAAGGAGCTCCCTGACAATCGCTTCGAGGACATTGGTCCTGCAGACCATTGCGGCGAACGCACTCGCATCCAACCATCAAAATGCTAGCCCTAAGCTCCCGAGACTTTGATCGTCTGGGGGGCCCACAGCATGGAGAACACGAAGGCGGACAACAGCCCCCACCACAACTTACCGGTGGCATTGGCGATGGACAACCCGGCGAGGGACACGGTATTCCACAGCATGGGGCAGGGCACGGAGGTGGCAAACAAATCGGTGGACAGGAAACTCCACATCCACCGCAAGGTCCACACGGTCCAACGGCACAGGGTAATGGCAACGGTCCGCAGGGTCCAAGTCCGCAAGGGCTGCATGGAGGTCCGCAAGGTCCACATGGACCGCAAGGCCCACATGGTCCGCAAGACGGTCCACATGGTCCACAAGGTCCACATGGTCCACAAGGTCCACAAGGTCCACAGGGTCCGCATGACGGTCCACATGGTCCGCAAGGCCCACAAGGTCCACAAGGTCCGCATGGACCACAGGGTCCACACGGTCCGCAAGGTCCACACCCATCCATTTGGTCAACCAAATTCTTCAATTTGTGTAAGAGGGACTTCCTCCGATCGCTTGAGCTACACATAGTTGCACTATAAATTTAGAATGTCTTTATTACAAAAAGGATTCACTTAAATTTTGAAACATGAGAAATGTTACGCGTAATTTTGTAATTTTAAAACATTAATAATAAATAATAACTATTCCATGGTAACCAGAATTCCACCAACTTGGATTTTCAAATGATTTATTACATAATGAAACAAAATATAATCTTTTCATATTTACATTAACAAATCTTTCAAAATTAAACAAAATTATTTTGAGATCCTATGCAAATGATTTTTTTTCGAATAAGTTACTCCTTTAACTTTCCTAAGATTCCTACTGAAATGCTACTCATATGTAATATAATGCATTTCAACTAGAATAAGTAGAATTGCTGTTCATCACAACTTAATAACAACTCATAATAACATTTAATGCAACTTTATTTACTCATTCTCTGAGTTTGATCTTATTTTGATTGATATATACATATAAGACTTAATCTAAGATAATAATATCACATAATAAAATATGTTGTTTGGTTGTCAAAAGATGATTGAACTGAAATGTAATTATTGTATCAGATGTTATTACATAATTAGCAAATAATCACATTTACATACTATCTAATTGCTAGTTTCCTGTCTTTACCTAATACATAAGAGTATACAAATCTTAACCCTGTGTAATTTTTACAGGGTAATGTCTGATTCAATTAAACTTTACTTAACAGTGTTACTTCAAGATTCATATTATATAAAATAAACGATACTTTCCAAAAGGTTCTTATAACAATTAATATTTAGAGGATATGAAAAATTAGATTACGTAGTATTATTTTAATAATATTTCATTAAGCAATAATTATATTTAATAACGAATAGCTTCCTCTTTATTGTTTATCCTGCGTGCATTGTTTGCAATTAAAAAAAATACTAAATAACCAGTTTACGTGTAATTTCCTGATAAACAAACGTACTGCAGGTAAGAATGAGACAGCTCAATTAAAACCCATTCGAGTGGTTAAGATTATCGACGACATTAAGATACGTTTCCACCATTCTTTTCGAGAATAATTATATTAATTATTTCTCGGAAACAAATTATTCTCAATTCTTCTCCTTTCATATTCCTCTCGTTCTCCTTTTTCTCCACCTTTGCATAACGCTATGATCCTTATTTACCCTACTTGGAAGTTACTCTAATAACTATTATTCAAGCCATGACAAGTTCTGTTGATAACGAAAAGGAACGGCGACGGCTGGCAAGTCCGCAACTTTAAATTAACGCGATACTACACTTAATAATGTGTTCTGTATACATTACTTCTACCTAGTCTCTATACTCTGCCGTTTTTTCTTCTTTTCTCTTTATTTTTTTTCTTTTCTTGTTGTTTTGTGCTCGGCCACCGCAGACTGACGATTTCAAATTCGCGTGTCTCAAATTTAACATTGTAATGCATCTCCTCATACTAAATGCTTTCCAAAGATAAGAACCGCCTGATTTGCATTTCTTTGTTTTAACGTTAAAATGCTTTGCTATTTTTTTTCTGTTGACTTCATTCCGCTTATCAGCTCACCTTAAATTAGGAAGCACGAAATTCTCAATCTTCGTTTAATTTCATTCTTTATTCGATTTTTTTTATACATTTTACAATATACAGAAAGATCAAAACAAAACAAAAATGAATTACATGTTATATTTGTAATACTGGTAGTTGTTCATCTCTTGAAGATAGATGTTCTGTTGGACGTAGTCACGAACCCCGTTGATCTGTTGTTGCCACTGAGCGAAGGCAGTGTGGAAATTTTCAGCTGAATCAAACTTCCCGAAATTCGATAACAATTGATCGCTGCAGTTATTGAAATGAGCCACGAATTTCTCATTTTGTGCATATTCATTGTCAGATCGGACACCTACAGCATAATCCAACGAAGGAGCATCACCGGCAATGCAAATCTCGTTCTTAGGTTTCTTGTTTAAACTCTCTTCAAATTCATCCTCTTCCTCGTATTCATCTTCATACTCGGCTTCCTCTTCTTCATCGTAATCGTAGTCATCGTACTCTTCATCATCGTCATTGCAATCCAACAGATTGATGACTTCCGGTTTATCAACCACCTCGTTTTCATCGAATTCCTCGCCAATTGCATCCAGCCAATGCTTTTCGTTTGGCTTTGTATTGTAGTCATAAGCAAATTTAAAAACATCTTCGAAATCTGCAGACTTGTTTCCCTCTGTTTTTCCAGTTTTCATATCGTTCAAATAAGACTGCACTGTAGATACACCAACTTGATTGTCACCGTAAAGGTCAGACGTGTATAAACATTTAGCGATGTTCATCAACGAAACGTTTTTCTGGTACCTTTGGTCGTCTCTTTTCCTCTTGAAACTTTCATTTACATCATCGCTAATCGCCTCACCATTCGCCAATTTCATCAATATATCATTTGTATCAAAACCTTCCATGTAGTCTTTATTCTCGGGTATTTTCGTTGGCCCCAAACCCATATCCTCAGATATTTTAATTAAATCCATTTTTTCTCCGTTCGCTAATAAAGCTTGTGAAGTATTATTAGTTGTCTTCATGATCATTTCTTTAATACTACTGGATGATTCTCCATTTGCTAATTTCAAGAGAATATTTGTAGCTTCATCATTTTCGCCTACATTTAAATCGTCTTGCTTCATATTAACGTCTGTATTTTCATCATCTCCTTTACATTCTGGTTGGTCACTGTTTGCATCAATATTTTTCATGTCTAATATAGCTCCTTTAATGTTTTTCATCCTCAAGCTTCTCTCGTCCACGCAGCTTTCATCCACAATCCCATAAATCTGCTCGAAACTCTCAGGTTTAACTTCCCAAAGATCATCAGGAAACGTATCATCGTTTGGTAATTTACCGACTCCCATGGTATTTCCACCAATCATTCCAATGATATTTTGGAATTGCATCAATTCTTTACCTTTCCCCGCTATAGAGATGCAGATACCTCTAGATCCATACCTCCCAGCTCGGCCCATTCGATGCAAATAAGTACTTGCATCAATTGGTACATCGTAATTAATAACCAGATCCACGTTGCTTGCATCAATTCCCCTGGCAGTTAAATCCGTGGACAAAAGTATCCGGCACTTCATATCCTTCAAACTCTGTATAGCTTCCAGCCTTTCATTTTGCGATTGAGCAGCGGATATATACGTCGAACCCCAACCGCTTCTATTCAAAGTATTACTAATACTTTCAGCGCGACTTTGGAAATTCGTGAAGACCAAACATTGTGTGTAAGAAATCTTCGAAAGCAACCTTATCAATTCCTCGTTCTTAATATTGTACTGCCTGATTATATTCAGATGGGTTTTAACTTCCGATACAAAATGTTTAAGTCCCAAAAGTAAAGGAGAATCTATATTTGGCGAGATGTGGCTAGGAGACTGCATATATTTGGCTAAAAATTTGTTCAGTTTATCTGGGTATGTTGCACTTGAAGCTATAATTTGCTTCTGCGGAGGTAGCTTATGATATATTTTATTAATATCATGTTGAAAACTGCTTTCCATCAACTTGTCAGCCTCGTCCATGACCAAGAGCTTAACTGTATTTATTTTCAGATGTTCTGACTCCATTAAATGCCTGATCCGCCCTGGTGCTCCAACGGCTATATGGCATCCTTTCAGTTTTTCAATATCATCCTCGATAGGTAAACCACCAATAAAGTATTCAGTCTTCAAACCTACAAATATATTTTCTTTAATAATAGTTAAAATATTAAATGATAAACTCACCTTCATAATCTGCTCCAATAGATTTTATGACATCACAAATTTGGGCTGCAATCTCCCTTGTTGGTGCAAGTATTAACACCTGTATATCATTATTTGATAAATTGAGCATTTCCAATGCAATGATCCCAAACACAGCTGTTTTTCCAGTTCCGGACTTTGATTTTACTATTAAATCTAAAGAACAACAATAAAATAAGCTTAATTTGCAGAATGCTTGTTTTGTTAACTTACCGAAACCACATCTTCCTACTGGTATGGCTTTTACTTGAATTGGTGATGGTTTCTCGAATCCACTTTTGGTTAGACCAGTTAAAGTTTTGTCAGAGAGTAAAAGTGATGTAAAGCTTAATTGTTCATTAATTAAAATATCCTTTGAACGTTCTTTCTCGCAAAGATTATGAGCACATTGCGAAGACATTATTAAACAATTTGTTAGGACTTAAATAGTTAATGTTTAGTAACTGTCTCTAAACCAAAGCTATTCTAACCTATTTGTATACAAATTTTATTTTGTTTTGATCCTCGTTTATACAACCAGAATAGCAATACATAACTTGGCTTCAATATGTTGAGATGGTGCTGCAAGCACTATTTGTAATTTACTTGTTCATAAAATCTCTTTATTACTTTATAATTTCAACTAATTGCTTTTAAATGATTTAGGTACTTAATTATACTCATAATATGCAATGAGGTGCAATAGTAAAGCAATTAAACATCTAGAGGAATATATAAAATCTGAGCTATTTGACAAAGTTATTTGAAGTAGCTTTAGTAAAATATTATATAAGGATTCTACTACAATTTGAAGAATTTAATGTCATTATATAATACAAAATATATTAGCAGTATAGAAGACAAACTTGGAAACCACTGATTTACATTAATGAAAATAATACAAAGAATACTTGAAATATTGTATGTATTTATTGAAGGAAATAATAACATAAAGAATAGTTAATAATAAACATACGAAATGTGTATTTTTTATTATCAATTGGAACATTACGAATACTAAAAAGAATGCACTTTATTTTGGGGGGAAAGTGTTATGCATTTTATATAACAAGTCGTTTGTATAGTAAAAATCCCATACAGAATACAGATAAATCGTGGTAAAATTGGGAAGGATCAATGAAATATGGCTGAGGGGTATTTAATTTTGCAGAACAATTATTTTTATTTCAATTTAACAAACATTTACAATTCTGATATGTCTAATAGGTCGGGTATGATAATAAGTGCAAGCAACGAAAAACCAAAAGAAACACACAAAGAAAATGGATTAAGAAGAAATAAATGAATGAAAGGGATTTACTGAAAATAAAGATAGAGAGAGAGAGAGAGAACAAGTGGATGAGGCTTGTGTGAAGTGTAATAATAAAACGATAATAAAAGTTATGTAACAAATGTATAATATGTAATTTTAAGAAACGAAAGGGAATGGAAATAGTGAAGTACATTTTTTTTTGAAGCCCTAACCTTCTTTACAAACAAAACAAAATAAATGAGCAATTAAAATAAACGTTTTAATATATAATTAATTGAATTGAACTTAGAGGAATTCAATCTATTTTGCTACTTCTCCAGTTTTCGTTTAAATTTTCATATGTGCAAATGCCGTTTCCTTTCATTATTAATTTACAATTTTTCGTTTTTTTAATAATTTAGTGGTAGTTTTATACATGTAAAGATTATCTTTAGTAAAATAGCAAAATAGAGAGTTTTCAAGCATATAAGTCGGCAGCTTTTGTTATTTTATACATTTCTTAATATTCTTCTTGTTAAATATATTTATCATATAAGTATATTGCAATATTTCCTCCGCTTTATTTTTATTTTTAAATTTTGAAATAATATATATACTTTTTTTTAATAATTTGTTCAAAGATCGAAATGAAATTTCTCTTGCAGAAATATATGCTTCATTTTTATATATATATATATTAATTTGTTTATATAATATTAGTAAACTAGACATTGTCATTCCTGCGTTATGAAGAAGTTAATTAAAGTAGATATCATAAAAGCAATATTTACGTATGATACACTTTAAACATTGTATCCTTTCTTCCTTCCATCCATTTGTACAGAGTATGAATTGACTATTGCATATTGCTTTTACAATAGAAAGTAAATCGAGAGATGTTAATTAAATGAAGAGAGAACTGGTGGGGAATTACGTAATGCGACATGGGTGTGAAGAGGGGGGAGGGAGACAGAAACGATTTAGTATGCAAGCCATGTACACAACAAGAGTCTCTATCACACACACACACACACACACACAATAATAATAATCTATACAGTTTCGTAATATATGCACATACTTTCTTCAAAATATTTCTTTCCGAAAAAATCTACTACAGAGTGAATGTACTTTTTTCCATTAAATTAATTTGCCCATAATTTTCTCCGAAGGGATTTTTTTTTTGTAAAGTCGCCTATAACATTGAACCTTTTGGTGAAATACGTTTAGATGCAGCGCACGATCCGGATCTAAGTCGGAAATTAAGTATAAAATTATCGTTGATTTCAAATACGCTACGAGAAAGAAAATCGATTGACTTTGATTTTGAACATTCCGAGAGTTTTAATTTTGATTAGTGTTTCCATTTCATCATTATATATTTCTTTTGTTGTTGTGTTCGTTTCAGAATACATCGCATATTATTATTACATAGTTTTAATGCATCCACACAAGCACATGCTGGTATCCTCCGAAGGTTTTCCGAGAAACGCCCTCAAAGTTCATGGAACGTTTCCACCAAGGGATGATTAACTTTGAGGTCAATTTCCGCACGTTAGGGGCATACTAAATCTTAATAATAAGAGACATATTACATGCAGTGTTCGTATATATTCATAGAAAACGACGTTTTCGCTGAAAATAGTTATTTCGATAATTAAAAAATAACTGTTCTTTTATTATTATTAATATTATTAAGTTTAATATTCACAATGTTTCTTCATTTTCCTCCTCGCGTTTTTTTTTCTTCCTCTTTATTCATTTCTTTTGCTTAGTATCTTCTTCACCACTAAAATTAATTAAATCACAGACAAAAATAAGCTTGGCCAATATATTTATGTACACTGTGCCATTATCATTCAACATACGTAATTTTTTGACGAGGGACCACTTCGATCCCCGATTTAGTAAATAGTTTAATAGCCTAAACTTAATAACAAACTCCTCGTAACTAAAGCACTCGCACTTAATTCGTTTTTTTTTGATTATGCGTCATCTACCATACATTTTTTTCTGCGTACCTCTCTCTTCGTACATTTACATAGATTTTTTTTTTCAGTTTTCGTAACGCACATCGATCAAGCACTCCAATACCTTAACACTAAATGTAACATAGAAACCATTCTCTTCGTCGTTTTCGGCTCTGTTTCCTCCTTGTTAGCACTCCACCAATCCAAAGCTGCATCTCCAACTCCGCGAGATCTGCAAACAAACCACAGGCATTTACAAGTTATCAAACAAATATTTGTATAGTAGTTATAGTAAAATCTCAAGTATAATGCGCACATATTAAATATCAATGAATGCGTATTATACTAGCAAAAAACATCATTTTCAATATTGAATAAAAACACGTTTCTTTTTATTAAAAATATTAAGTTTCATTAACAAATATTTGATTCAATCCAATATAAAATCACGAAAATTTTTGCAAATTAAAGCATTTGCATATATATTAAAGATTTTAAGGTAAATTAAATAAATTAAGGAAACACACGAAAATCTATGAAAACCTTTGAAAAACAACGAATATGAAAAATATTCCACCTATATCAGTTATGTCATAGATATATAATCTATCAATAGTATTAAATATGGAATTAATTTTGTTCAGAGAGCGAAACGGATATTCGATATTCCGTGTTTTCGCGTTGAACGAATCAGCGGACTGTTTGCGAGTTTACGCGATTGAACGGTTTTAATTAATTTCGTTTCCATTGGAGTAAAAAAAAACAACAAAAAAATATTGTGCAACGTGATTTTGCCGAACGGATTCATTACGTTTTCTGCAACCTGCTTCGATTTAATTAAAATATATACTAGTTTTTACAGAAATGGTAAATTTTTACATCAAAAATTAGTTTGTAAAACTAATTAAATTTCTATTTAAAGATTAAATACTTAAATACTTTTGTACAATACGTGACTTTTCTGTTTTGTACAAAAAGTAAAAGGATTATTAACTCATAATTAAAAAAAAAAGTTAATGAAAAGACATACATAGGAAACATAATATTATCGCTATATCATTCTTTACGTAACAACAATTCCTTATATGAATGATGTAAGATTGATTAAGTGACTGAAGTTCACACATAGTTTAGTTCTAGCACGAAAGCGTACACTGAGTTGAGATATTTTGCGATGCAATCTGTGAATGAATTTTTATGTGAACGAAGGTTGCATTAAAGAAAACTGCAATAAAGTATTTTAATTAAGTAATATTTTTAACGTTATTGCCATTCCGCAGAGTTTATGAAGCTCCCCGTTGTTTACATTTTCTTATATCCACTTAAACTTTCCTATGAAAGGAAACAATCTACCATTAAGAATCTCTATTGAAATTTATGGCTGCTGAGTATAGAAATGGTTCATTTAAAATACTATACTATTTTATTCCATTACTTACATATTATTAATAAATCTGAAGGCTAAATACGCAGCTGTCTTTATATTATATATTCTTTTTTCTTACTTATTTCCTTAAAGTAGTAAAGGTATTATAAAGAAGTTAAGAGTTAAAGTTTATATTTTTTGTTACAATTATGAAAATTTGTTCTTGTATTAATAATAGTGTTGTGACTACTTGGATGTCATTATTACAATTTATAAACTGTGTATAAAGGAAAAGATTTATAGAGTATCAAGTCTTAATACATGGCATCATTTCGAAAGACTTGTTGGTTGAAACCCGATTATACTATTATTAGTAAGAATAGTATGAAAATTACCTGTGACTGCTACGAAGAATGCGGTGTCTTGTTGTTTACAGAGTTGGCCGGCATCTGGACGTTCGGTGGAAGGGAGGTCGTGGTGTGCAGCAACAGTCTTGTCTCTTCCGTGGGTGAATGATCGTCCATGGGTGGAGGCGGTGGGCAAATGTAAAGCGGCACATCAACGACACTGTATTTATTCCCGACCACTTGTTCGTTACACGTCTGCTTGTCCTTGCTGTTCATGATATCGTCGAGTAGGAACAACGGTGACTTCATAGTCCTGTTTTTGTCAACTTCCTGTTGCTGGTAGGGTGGTGGCGGCGGCGGGATCCTTGTGAGCCTACGATGGCACGCCGAGCGTTGGCTCAGGGGCGGCGAGGACAACCTCTTGTTCGGTGAGTATTCACTTCCGGATCCGACGTCCAGACTGGTGTTATCCGAGATGAGACGTTCGCTCTCCGGATCTGCGCTCCGGTATCCGCTGCTATCCGACTTTTTCAATATAGACTTTGATCTTCGGTGGTGATCTAGTTGCGGGCTCGCTCTGCTATCAATCGAATCTACTGACAAAGACGATTTACTTCCACAATTCTTCCCTAAAAAGAAACCAAAAACAAAATGCACACGTATACTTATAGATATACGTAAGATGATAAAAATATAACAATTGTGCAATGAACAAAAGAAATCATCCTCACGTGCTTTCAATCGATTTAAAAATAACTACATTAGTTAGCTTAAAGTACTAACGTCAATATTAAAAAATCTTATTAAATATCGTTTAATGAATAACTTCAGTAATCGCAATTACTTTGGAAAGCCTTAGTAAATTTATCTAACTTAAGATATCTGGCTATATTTTATAGTTTTCATAGTTTCTTACTTGATTCAAACTTAACTTACTAAGTAACTTCTAGTTTTTTTTACATTTAACATACAGAAATGATCAAACTTCTTGAAAAAGTATTGGCGTTGGTGGGTAAGATAAGAAAGGTTGAGAGGCACTGGTATAAAGTTATCTTAATGGGTGGATTTGATTGGAATCGCGTGCGGAAGCGGCATATCATCGCCTCCGTTCCCTCCCTTCGGAATTATTTTATCGAGTCGGTGGGAAATGAAAGCAATTCCGAACGTGACCGGAATATAAAGAAGCGCCGATCCCTACCTGTTCTGGATCCGCCCAAGTTCTGGATGCCGAAGAGATGTTGATTGATGATCCGCGTCGCCGATGCCAATCCTCTCGTCGGAATGAAAGAAGTCCTCTTCTTCTTCTCCAGGCTCTCCTGCGAGTCCCTCTCGAACGCATCCCCGAACCTCGTCTTCGGACGACTGCCGTGACTCTGGTGTAATCAAAGGAGGATTAATTAATAAGTGCAATTCTCTTGGGTCTGGAGTTGGAAATGCGTGCGTGAAGGCCGTTTATAATCGTATGGATTTTCCGAAAGATAATGCCTCTTTGGGCTTAGGGTGGTTATGGCGCGAGGGTGGTTGTCGGTAGAAAATCCACCTCGACTGTACTATACATAGAATTCCGTTTGAATAATTAGGGTTTGGTAATATCTAGGTTAAATACTGCACACACACACGATGCGAGCTGGATAATTATCGACGTTTTAATCTATTCCATGCGCGCTATTCCTTTCTTGCATAGTCATCCTTCCTTTTTCGTCTTCCTTCTTCCTGCACGTCCATTTCCAGAGACCAGCGTTTCCTTGATTGATTGAGCGCCAAACAACAATTGGATTGAGGCCAGACGAATTTACATCTAATGGACCTGCACTATCCGCAACAGAGAGTGCGTTTCTTAAAGGTTTACATAATGCCCCACCTCGTGCGGTCGGGCATAACATGTTGTTGTTATAATTCCTCCACTTTTTATAACGACTTCCGAAAATTTGTTTTCCTTCGATCGACCGTACACAGATAATGGACTGGGTTGGGCACGAAAGCTTCCAATCCAACGTCAACTACATTTCCGTAAATAACAACTTCATCGAAGCATCCGACGTATTTGTCCCCAAATATCATTAAAAAATAAATACGGAATTTCTAGAATCGCAGTAAAAGTTTTTTTTTCTCATTTATTTTGTACCTTCGACGCATTGCAAACGTTCGTAATTAAATTTTTAATTACACCGTTTTTTTTTTTATCTTGAAAGCGCAGTAATCCATTCGTAATTTTTCTGATTGCGGTAAACTGCACTCTGCAATGTGCAAACGATAAATTCTTTGACGCGCGATTTACAAAATATTAGTTCATGATAATTATGTTTGCACAACATAAACACGTATTCTCCATAAACGGCATACAAATATATTCCACAGTTAGCTTTATGTTTTCCTATTAGTTGCGCAATGATAAGCTAAATATTTGCGAATTAGATGCCTTTTCCTTGTATATTATTGTAATACTAATAACAAGTTTAATCCGTTCCAAAATTTCCGGATTTTTACTCGTATAGTAAAACAAGTTTTCCCATATAAACCAATGTAAATTCCGTTAATACGTTCCATGCCGGAGAAAAAAAGTATAACTTGGTCTCGATTTTTTATGATTTTGCTTTGCATATCTATGGTTATTTTTATATTTAGCTTTTTATTCGGAGAAATGCCAGTGTTATTAAATTTTGCACAAAAAAAATCACAAATAACATGTCTGAACACAAGTTTGAAAATTTTGTGATCACAAACAACACTAAGTTACAACTAGAATGACCACTAACACCAGATACTGTTTATACTGTTTTCTAAGTGAAGTGAGTTTATATTTGTTTATATTACTTGTATCAATTCGGGGACTTGGTGGAGGTTTCTTTAACTTTTAATATTCGTTTATATAAAAAAGCGAACATAGTACACACTATGTTATATATTATAATAATGGTTGGACACAATATATTTGTGTTTTGCATTTACAGCAAACACAAATTATATTTGCAAAGTATAGTCCACTTTAATCAAAGATGACAAAGAAAATCGAAGATGGTCAATATATTAAAAATACACATATTATGTGTATAAGTTTTGAAAATGATGTGGCAAGCACACAATCCGAGACTTCTCTTCTCATCGTCACTCGTTATGCGAAACGTTACTCGTTAAGCGAGTCATTTTTCGTATAATTTATTTAGTTCGTTAAGCGAAATACTCGTTATGCGAAGTGCTCATTAAGCGAGGTTCTACTGTATTTAAACGAACTTAAATAACATGTAATTATCATCATGAAACCATCATCATTTTCGTTACTCTCTTTACATTAGTTAATAAAATTATATTTAAACTAATTTCATCTTCCTTAATAGTAGTAATTCATTACATTTTATATAGTTTTACATCACTATTACACATCCAAAATATTCTTAGTTTATTAAAAGAGAAATTAATATTTGTTTTTTTTTGTAATATTTTAGAAAATTTATTATATTTAATTGATAATAATTTGAAAACTTTTGATTTTCAATTGAGAACATTATTTTAAAATTATTTTTCAGTGAAATATATAAAGTATAAATAATTATGATGAAATGTCGATTTTCCATTTCCCATTGTTAGTTCTCATAACTATTAAACCACGCAGAGAAATTAAATTAATTATATATTTTTTTTTAGTTCCTTTCTTTATAACAAATGCTTGTTTTTTTCTAAATTAAAATAAAGTGTAAAACATCTAACTATATTTAGTGCTATAAACTATAATTGATTTATTCTTCTATAATAAATGCATCTTTACATTATAATAAATGTAATATTAAGAATATCTTAAATGATTGCTAATAAAAATAATAATAGAAGTTTGATCCTTTTATTTCTCAAATTTTTATATTAAATATAAGTTTTATAATAATATATTGAATTAGTTACCGAAAGAATAAATATGTTTTTAGAAAAGTTTGATGAATATAAATATGTTTTAGAATATTCTCATAACGAAACTTTATGTATTAATAATAAAACTTTTCCTATCAATTTAAGCTAGACATCTTCCTAATGGTTTTGTAGTGTAAAATACTGTTACCATAATTAGATTTTACATTTACATTTAAAGTTTGATGAAAAGTATTAATGATTATTAACGACGTAATTATAATAATTTGCATAGAGAATAAATTTGGTATATATTGTAATGATCCTGATGTGTATGCAAATATAGAGATATTATCATTTACATATATTATACTGTTCTAATAAAAAATCTAGCAAAATACTTGAAATATTGCAGGCAATTACACTTTTAACCTAAACTAATCCTATTTGCTTATCTAATCTGGATGGGATTAACTCATTGAGAAAAAAAGGAAATCCTGCAAAAACCCCCCAAAGAAAAACGTACCTGTTGGAATCGTGTCCGGCGACTTTGCTTGGGTAAGGGCGATTCGTTGAGGCTGACTCTGCTGCCCCTATCCAGGGCCGAGAACTCCCTGTAATGGTCATCCATAGGTGACGTGGCTAAACTCCGGAGAGCCGTATCCCCGGAAGCCGATTTCTTGACACCAGCAGGCCGTACCGTGGCCGCCGGAGTCGTCGTAGCTTCCGGACTATTCTCTCCGCTCTTGTCCAGAGGATTCACATAGAGATTGCTATCGATGGCGCAGCTCGGATCCGCCACTTCCGAAGTAAGATCACCTTGCGAGTAGAACGGATGCGTGTTGCAGCTGGCAAACGTGTCCGAGCTGTCCATGCTGCCCATATCTCCGTTGTTGTTATTATTGTTGTTGTTGTTATTATTGTTGTACTGGAAGAGTGGCTTCGATCTGGCGTCCATCTCCGCGAAGGCCGCAGCCTCCCCTTTCAGCGTCCTCATCTCCAGGCAGACGGGGTTACGGAAGTCGCTCGTTGCCAGTGGCATTAAGTTTTCCGCGTCAACGAACTCTTTGAAATCCTGCGGAATTACCAAACTCACAAAAATGTATTCCGAAAACCCGATGTATTTTAGAGATGATGCCCCTAAAACCTGAACCCTCTATATGTGTATGTATATAGGTTTTTTTTTTTCTTTCTTTTACTTTACAATAGTCTCTCTTTTAGGGAGCACCTAGATGTGTTCTTGTATCTCTAAAGATAACTCGTTTACGTAATTTGCAAGAGTAATTAGAGTAAACTACCAGCTATAGTTACACGTGCATCGTGTTGAAAGAATAAAAACAATAAAGAAGTGTAGAAAACTCGTCATTTAAGCTATATATATAATTGGTTAACTAGTAAGAAATAAATATTTTCGTGCGTGCAATGGTGATATTTTTTAATCTCTCAACTATAGCGTGCAATATTCAAAAAAAATGTACATATTACAAACCTTCGTTTGAAACTCATGCCACTCTATAAAATCAATTTACTTTTCGGCTCCGACACGTTTTCTCGACCATCTCTAATTTATTTTGTACAATGCGGTGCTCTCTAGAAACAATAATTAGCCAACCTGCTTTCAACATTTCCCGACTTTTACTTCTGTATTCTTCAGTTTTAGCGTTTGCCACGTACATACAGCACATCTCAAAATAAACAACATATACACGCTTCATAATAATTAATAACTTGAATCTCTATCAAACACAATAATTTAATAACAGTTATATAACTTTCTATAAATTAAATTTAGTTTCTATCATAAATTTGAAAACAAAAGTAATTAAAAGATCTTTTCTTTTCATATCAAATATTTTTGTACTAATTATTTATATGATATTGGATCATATTTCTTATAATATAAAATATTGTTATATTTCTATGATATTTATCCAAACAACAATAAATTACCGTGACAAGAAAATATGATTTTGAACAGATAAAACAAAGTATTATTATTAAAACATATCTCATCATATACAGGGTGGCCCAATTGAACTGAAACTTTCCAGTTATTTATTTCAAATTGGATTTTATTGAACCAAAAGCAAAAAAAATGTTGGAAAACAATTAATTTTTTTGAATTCGACAATCGAGTTACACGCTGCACGAATCTGAACCTGCGGAATCTTCCTCCATTCACGTAAACAATAAAATCAGCTATCATTAGGCAAAATATGGACACAACATTGCCAACGGTTCGAAAGTTATAGCAGTTTTAAGTTGGTTGCAGTACAACTGGGCCACCCTGTACATTAACTTTGATCAGTAAAAATTCTTATGGTATTTTGTGTAATTAATAAAAAAATAATGATTTAATTGTTTTACTATAACTTTCATTTTGTTGTTGTTTAATTTCTTATTTCATTTCAATTATTAACCATTTATTATTAGTATCGAAATCAGAATCAACAAAAAAACTTTTGTACTCAATTTTCTTGCATTCATATTATTATAATGTTTGCTTCTGTATAAGTTTAATTGAATTTTAAATCATTTCAGTAATAGATATAACCAAATTATGTATAACTCAATAAGATAATTCTCTAGAATGTAATAATAAGTATTTTAAGTTATATAAATTGAACTACTCAAAGTTGTATACAAAATACTTCACATATACTAGTTTATAAAATTATTGTATTACTATCGGAGACTCATATTATGAATCACCAATATAAGTATAATTCATTTATTTGAGAATCTCTGTATTCATAAAGAGAAAATTAAATCAAATAACTAAATAAATAATAAAGAAAAAACTAAAAGAAAACTATTAAATAATCTTCGCTTTCTTGTCTTCGTAATTGGTTAATCGCTTCGTTATCGTCGGTTAAATTTTATTTTTCTTTTGTCTGTTTATCAATTAACTCACCTGTAGTTGCATCGAGCATTTCAAAAAGTCGTAGCTACACGCTTTTGGTTTGTAGTGGAATGCATTCCCCTCGACACGGTCCCTTGCATTCCTGCAATTTTACCACCAGGCTTACGTCTCGAACGCAAAGAAAACAAAACTGCACGACGACTCGTCATGAGTAAACGAAAGAAATGAAACGAAATGATAAGACACTCAAGGAAACAATAAATAACAATAAAAAAATAACAAAAAATAAAACCAAAGAAGAAACGAAGGATTCTCATTAACAAAAGCTTCTTGTTACATCGTGTTGTTATTATAAGTTGATTTGAGTAATATTCGTTGTTGTTGAATAGTGAAGATAACATCGTCATCACCTCTTCAGGTTCAAGCTAACACACACACATAAGGAGTACAGTAACCACAATAATAGTAACGATAACAAACAAACAACAACAACAACAACCACATGCCCCATGCAAGCTAAATGAATTGCGATATTTTATGTGAGTCTTCCTTCAACAGGATGTTCGTAATTTGACTATAATCGTCGTAGTTGTGACAACAAGAAAGAAAAAAAAGCGCGCGCTTCGTACGTGAGACTCATTGTCGTTATATAAATATTTCTCTGCATGATCAAGTTGTGAGTTGAGAGAAGATGAGTCGATGTGAGTGAAAAACGAATAAACAGAGGTGAAGGAAAATATAACGAATAGAAATAATATATGTAAATCATAGTTATAAAAGCTCGCAATGAATTATAAATTAAATAGTAGGGCAATACTACCTTCGAGGTGCAAAAGCAACATTCGAATTCGCTAGGAAATTCGTCGATTTTCTCGATCTTATTCTTGTTGGGATCAGATTTTTTGCTGTCCGCCTACAAGACAGATCGAACACAGGAGTAGCATAGCATAGAGAGCAAAGAGAAATAAACTAAATGGGGGAACTCAAATGGGTTTTGGGGGGGCGGTTTTTTTTTATATATTGATGGCAAACAAAATCAAAGTAAAATAAATAAAATGTTAATTCAAATTAATCTTACTGCGGTCTCAATCGGTTATCTTCGGTTAAATGTTATACACAAACTTCAGCACGAACGCGAATTATTCAAAATACACTTTAGAAACTTTCAACAGCAATAACTTTCAAAATTTTAATCCAAATCATTTTCAAAGTAAATTCTTTAAAAATGCTCATATTATAATTAAATTTACATCTAAATCGTAAGTAAACCATTATTATATAACAAAATATCATACGCAGTTATCGCAGTTGTTAATTTAAGATCGCTTGCTTTTCATAAAAGTAGCGTTTTGCAGAATTTTCATGTCAATATTTATATCCTTTCATAATTAATATTTGTATCACTGAAAAAGTGCATTTAACACATCACTCAATAAGTCTCCGATCTGACACATATATGAGGTATACAATTGATAAGCCCACATGATTTCTGGATAGTACCAACCTTCAAACAATACGTGTCAAAATTTCATGACATTCTGACAATTAGTTTACAGTTTACAGTGGTTCTAGTAATACAGTTTTGTATTTTTCAAAACAATGGATAAAAAAGAATTTCGTATGTTGATTAAATATTGTTTTTTGATGGGGAAAAGTACTGTTGAAGCCAAATAGTTTGATAAGCATTATAGAGACTTTGCATCAGGGAAATCAAGTATTATTGAATGGTATGCCTAAAATCGGCAGTTGTTCCGGATTACATGATAACAGTTGACAAAATAGTTTTCAAAGACCGTAAAGTGATATTGCGTGAGAAAATTTGAGCAACTAGTAAGATTCTTGCATTGGTATATGACAATGGATGAAACATGGATTTATTACTACACAGTTGAATCAAAAAGGGAAAGAAATTTGGCTCAAATAAAGAAACTGAGGCCTATTTTGAGAGCAAAGACAAATCGTTCTACAAAAAAGGCATCGATAAATTAAAAGAGAGTTTTTCTTAATTAGATCAGAACATATTGATTGATGTGTTAATTATACAAAACAATGTAAATAAATTGAGAATATACTTTTTAGTTGCAAGTAATATGTTTTAATTATCTTGATAATAATTTTTCAAATATATATATTTAAGGTATTTAATTTGATGATTAAATAACATTTTGTGTAATTCCCTAATAGTAAACTTAAATAATTTACTAAATGCTTTCTGTAAATTAATAATGTATTTCCTGAACACTATCATTTGATTACATTCCGGTATAACAGCGTATTTATACGGTAATAACAACCCGTCGATTCATATTTGTATGCAAACCATTTACGAAGTGCACATAAAACCCACTGAACAACCGATCGAGTTCGCTCCTAAACATCTCCGAAATTATATTTAACCGTCGTCCCGTATTTTCAGCGAAATCCGATATTTACTGTGCAAACTGAAAATGGCTGTTGACCCACCACTGAAAACGGCAGTCGCTTAATATTTTCGTGACCGGACTTAGCCTTTCATTGCAAAATCAAATATGAAAAGCGGAAAGCGTAGAATTACAATTATTACAATCTGCAGTTCGCAAATGAGCTGATCAAAAAGTTCGTTCGCGATAAATGGGTTTACAGACAGTCTAATTAGCAGAATGAGCAAAGAAGTCAATGGGTGAATGCAAATGCGTCTTCAATGAGATAAGTTGTTGCTGCAAAGTTTCTGAAGCGTAATTCGTTTGTGATTTGAGGAGGAAGCTACGTCAATGGTAATAGACATGTTATATTGCAATACATTTGCTAAGAGTGGATCAAATATATATATGTATGGTTGTAATAAGGCATTCGACACCAATAATCAATTCACTGAGTATATGCAATGGCATCACAAACATGTTCATGTCTTCATGTAAAACAATAAATAATAATAAGAACAAGTGACTGAGGTGTCATTAGATCGTTGCACATGAAATAACGCATTGCATTTTTAATGTAACCATAATTAAGAGAGTTGTCATTTATTTTTTACTTATGTAATGATTTGTAATTTGGTAAGCAAAAAATATTAATTTACTTTATGTATATTTTTAAAATACTTGAATCCAAAAAAAATTTTATAATAATCCAGGTTTTGTTGATAATTTTTTTATTACAAAAGTGTATTATATATTATTAATGTACTAAAATATAAAGTTTTCTATATAAGAAATACATCAAAATCTAAAAATTGTATTTGAATGATAACAAAATAATTAATTAAAACATTAAAACATTCTATTTATTTTTAAGTTTTTTATGATTTAAAGTAGTTTGAGTAAGTATTAATTAAAAATTTATTTGATAGTAAAAATATTGAAAATAATGTAATCAAAATTTAATAGTAATATCGTAATAATCAATATAATTTGATAGATCATATTTGATTAAGAAACTTTATAGGAAGTTTCGGTAGCATTAGAATATACATACATAATTGAATGCACCACATGGATGAAATCAAAATTGAGATGTAACTTAGTTTGTTGCAATGTAATAACTTCGAGTGATATTATGTTGAATTGTATAATTATTCAAATTAAGATTCAATTGAGAAATACGTATTTTTTTTGTACAACGAGCTTATGAAAGTCCTCGGGGAGAGTAGAAATTTAGTTTATTTAGAAGTACAAGATAAATATAGGTTTCATATTTGGTAGAGTTAATAAATAGAAAAGGTATATTTGAAAACTTACCCCTGGCGATATGTATCCTTTCGGCGTGGGTGGCAGAAGGACGGTCTCGTCCTGGGCGAGCGGAGCCATAGCACAGGTCTGCTGCAGCTGCAGCTGTTGCTGCTGCTGTTCCTCGGGCGGCGCGAGGTCCAGGAGTCGCTTCTGGGAGACTGGTGAAACTGGAACTGGAGGTCCATCATTGATTGGAAGACAGGGAGTTTGGGAAGAGTTGCTACGTCTATGTCGGTTTGATAAAATATCGTAGTTTCGGTAACAACCCGTTTGCGATGGATTTCGGCCCGTCGTCGAGTCCCCCTCGGTACTATTCCCGTCGAGGTGTGATATGTTGTGGCCTGACGATAACACTTTGGGTCAGCAAATCTCTTGCCATTCATCGAAACCAATCATATATATTTTTTTTCTGTTATGTGCTTCCACACACGTATCTACTCATGTATACATATGCAGCATGTGAATTGCCATACGTATAAATAGATAGATAAGTCGTTGCCATTGCCGGTAATTTGCGCCCCCAAGATTATATCAGACCAGGAAGGAGTTTGGTTGTGGTTGTAGGTGGTTGGTGGTGGTAGTGTGAGGAAGAAATAAAATTGTAACAGTAGAGTTTCCAACAGGAACAAGAACGGAAAACGAGTCCTGCGCGTGTGTATGTGTGTGAACTACTTCATCTTGTTGTATAATAAATATATAAGCTAATAATTAGGTAGTAGTTGTGTAGGCACGTATCACGACTACTCGAAACACGATCACTATTACTCTGCTGCCGTCGTTTTCGTTTTGTTCTCGTAATTTTAATACATTGCAAACAAGCGAAAACGCATGTAATTTATGTACATAATTAAGACGGTTTTGCTGTACCCCAAAGAAATCATAAATCAGAAGGGATTCATCGCAAAATTTACGGTGCAAAATTCACTTCAATGTTCAAGGTATATAAAGGTATAGAGGAATCGTGTGAAATAGAGTGTGTGAGAGAGAGAGATAGACAGAGATAGAGTAAGAGTAAGAGAGAGAGACGCGAGAGAGGTAGTTCAAAAGCATATACTTCTCGCATGCGTTTTTTTTTCTTGGACAGGAGATCCGCGACTTGCTTCTTTCTTTTCTTTTCATTTTCGATAATCAAAATAATAAAGAAAACTTTTTGGTTTTTAGGAGTTTCGGCGATTGTCTTCGTTTCCACCAATAAGGGCACTCTTTTCACCTAGGAAAGAAGACAGATCGTCTTAAAACTCGTCGCCGAGAGATACGGAAGCTGTGCTAATAGTTGCTACAGGATTCCTACATATCCATATCAAAACCCAAACAAATTCACACACCTCACTAACTTAAATATATTATTAATATTATGTTTCTTAAATATAATTACTTTATAAATCGAATTCTAGTTTGATGAATGCGAAACATAATGTAATTTCAAATACAACGACTATCAAATATATATATCTATAACTTTGATAATTCCATTGTATTAGAAAACACTTCATGTTCATAAAAATTTCCAGTTATTTACGATTTTAAAAAGATTTTAAAACTTCAAATAAAATATATTAAAAATTACAATATTTGTTGGAGAGAATATTTTTTAAGGATTTGTAACCTTTTTTTCTTAAGAATTTCAATGAAAGTTATTTCCAATTAATATTAGAACTCATATCAAAATATCCAAAACTATAACTAAATCACATAATGTTATATTTTTCTTTTGTGAAAATACTACATTAGGAGCCTTACTTTTTTTATTAAATCTCGTATCTTGTAAATATTTGATTATTATCCAAATGAATTTTATTATTAAAATTAGTTGTTTCAATTTCTTTAATAAAAGTTTGAACAATATATTATAAGTATCACTCGTTTTACACGGTATTTTCTTTACACGCTTTTGCTATTTATTTATTACAAATGTTGAAAATAACTTATCCTATACGTTTTTGCATAATTTTCGATTTACACGTTTTTACATTTAAAAAGTTAAAATTTCGATTTACACGTTTTTCTGAAGAAATTATCTCCCGTGTAAATCGGGTATATGTGTTTTATATTGAAAATTTTAAATTGAATATAAATAATTTATATCAAAAAAAAAGTATATTTAATTCAAACATAGAAAACATATTTTTTTAATAAAGTCTAATTTAAATAAAATTTATTATAATACGATTGTTAATTAAGGAAATCTCCTAAAAAGAGATTCAATTTAATTTTTGAAATCACCGAACTAACTTCCTGCACGAAACCATAATTTAATTTGAAAGTTTCTCCGTGCATCCTGAGGGCTACAAATAATTCCTTTAAAAAAAATCCTCCTCTCCGCAAATTAAACTTGAACATTTCTTCACCGAACGCAAATAACTGGTAAATTCAACATTACAAATACGTTCTATGTAATCATAAGAGATACGAAACCAAATATTTAATAAGAGTTAATCATCTAAATGAAATGCTGCATGCAGAAGTAATTTAACTGAGCTATTGCATTAGTAGATCAATGTACATTAGATTATATACTTCCAAGTATCTAAAATTAATATGTATTTGATACTAATTGCGAGAAATGTTAGAAATTAGTGCGGATGGACGTTAATTTGATGTTTCTTAAGCTGAGAGGCGGCGAATCAACCAGTTCACCCTGCGGGGTTTCGGTCCTTTCGGAGATTTACATTTAATTTTCATATTTTCTGTATTTCAAGCACGCAGCGAAAGAGCCGTAGCCGTTTTAAATAAATGTAAATCATTTTCGCGCGTTAATTGTAACTGCTGATGACGGCGTTTCTTAATTAACAGGAAATGTAAAATATTGAAATGAATGCAATTAACTTTTCTTCTGCGAAATGTAATTTACTGACGTATTATAATTGAAAATATCTTTTTTAATATTAAAAAAAAATGTATTTTGTAGAATTAGACTTGACAATACTTTTTACTTGTATAGAGGGATCATGTCAATCTCGATTTCATGATTTTCCTAATTAAAATCTATCCTTAATCATATCCCTTAATTCGAAAATTCATATAACCAGTTATATATAAGAAAAGAACTTGAAAATATTTGATTTTTTTAAATATTCAATTGAAAATTTTATAATTATTTCTTATACAAAATAATATAATATAATAATATTAACTATAATAAACATAATTGTATTGCCTTTATTTCAATTAAGTTCAGAACTTAAAATTTCATTTTTCAAATTATGTAACATAAAAGTAAACTATATAGATAAATTAAGTGAAATTGACTGAAATTTTGTACAATATACGTATATAAATAATGAAAAAGATTAGTTTCTAATAAACTTTTATATTTTTCACTCTCATTAATTATGATATTACAAATTCTGTTACAATTTATTATGTAATAAATATGTTAAATATGTTAATTGTAATAATATTGAATCATTGTAAATAAATCTCTTGTTATTTTGTGGATGAATGGAGCTTTAGTAACTAATGTAATTGTGAGTGAACTGAGAAAAAAAAGTTTTAAATGTGCAGTAAATAAAATCGTGAAATCAAGTTGGAAAGAAACACAGTTATCTGATGAACCCTCTATATAAAGTCATCGCAGCTGTAATTTAATTTCGTATAGTGGTTGCAGGAAAAGAAAATCAATGTTCGGCGTTTTTCTGTTGCGAAACCGGTCGGATCTGTTTATAGGAAACTGGTGAATTTAAATGATGCAATCTGAACGTTATTGATAATGATCCGATAGGCCGGCCTCCCCCGTAATCCGGATGTTTTTGTATATATGGGTGTGTGTATATGTTTGTGTGTGTGTGTGGTTGGGGTTGGATATAAATAAATGGAAAACTCTGTAGCGTTATACTCGTTGCTCACTGCATGTACTATTCGCATGGAGCGGTTTTAATTTATTAGTAGGAGGGGCGAAGGGTGAAAAAGCGAAACGAAATTGAAGCAATAATGGAAACGGAAATTGTCTACCGCTGGATGGAGTTAGAGTTGTTTATTTGTGTTTGTTAGAAATAGAGAAATAGAGCGTTTCAATGTAGATAAAGGTAAAGATGGTTAGATAGTTAGAGGGTGTGTTGTTGGATGTTCGTAAGCCGCTGTGCGTCCGTACCTGTGTCTACGATAACGTCGATAAGATCCATGCTCTTGGCGAAGGCGTCCCGAAGATTGATATGGTGGAAGGATACGATACTGCCCTCGCGCTTGGCTCGCTCGAGGGCCTCGCGCCTCTTCAAGGCCTTCTCGCGCCGCATCTGGTTCTTGTAGAACTCGGCAAAATTGTTGACAATGATGGGAATGGGCAACGCAATCACCAAGACACCGCAAATACAACATACACTTCCTATGACCTTCCCAAGTGGCGTAGTTGGGTAAATGTCGCCATAACCGACCGTGGTCATGGTAATACCAGCCCACCAGAAGGTTTCCGGAATACTGATAAACTTGGTATCTTTCTCTTCTTTCTCGGCAAAGTAAGCCAGACTCGAGAATATGAGGACGCCCATCGCGAGGAAAAGCATAAGTAAACCCAGCTCTTTGTAAGAATTGCGAAGGGTGAAACCCAATGACTGGAGACCGGTCGAGTGCCGGGCGAGCTTTAGGATACGCAGGATTCGCATGATGCGGAACACCTGCACGACACGTCTGACGTCTTGGAATTGGTCCGTTGCATTTTTATTGGTCTCCAGGAGGAAAAGCGATACGAAATATGGCAGTATTGCTAACAGATCAATGATATTCAGACCGCCCTTAAAGAACTTCCACTTGTTCGGCGATGCGCTAAACCGCAGGATATATTCGAGGGAGAACCAAGTGATGCAGACTACCTCGACCATCGCCAATTGCGGATTGTCATTTACGTTTCCCTTTTCATCGGTAACTTGCATACTCGGAATCGTGTTCAGTGTTAAAGCGATCGTCGATAACACTATGAACAAGATGGAAATGATGGCGATCACCTGCAATAATTATCAAGTAAATCACATCCCTATCCAATATTTATCCATCCTGTTGCGTTCTAATTCGTCGTTTGTCAGTCTATTTCAACATACATTTATTTATTTACTTTCATTACTTTTTATTTTCAATCCTTTACGGTGCTACTCTTTTGCCTCAGACAATACAACACATTTTGATTGAAACAGACACAGACTGACAAAATTCAAATACTAATCATTTTTTATACGTTCTTAAGTGATTTTCGTGATAATATATTGACGTTCTAAGAAGTGACATAAAACAGAAAATCATAAAACAAAGAGTAGAGTACTATAAAAACGTAACACAACAGATATAGACATTTAGATAGAGTAAAAACATTGAACAAACAAAGCACTTATAGCCAACACATATTTGTTATCGTCTTCGCACATAACAACGCATCACATCTCTTTAACCAAAATATTTCACTACTTCATCATCAACAAATAAATTTAGTCATATTGCAAATCGATTGGAAAATATTGAAAAAATATTAATTTAACTAAATTTTATAAAAATTCAAAATGAAAATTCTCTTTTATTGCACAATTTGAAGTTAAGAGTTTTGATACAATTATAAACGTTTATGAATAGATTTTATTTAATAATGACAGTTATGTTGCATTCGCTCTATCCGTGATATGAGATATAAATATTTATAAAGCGTGGAAACTGCTATTGGTTATGATGATATCCGTTAACTTCGACAGCTGCTATTGCACTGTGTCATGTGTACATACATACTAGTTGATACGCGTGACAGACATTTATATTTCATGTTTCGAATAGAATGCATACAGAATAATAAAATCATTCTAATAACATTTTGTTGAATTTTATGCATATCAATAATAATAGTAATACTGCTTATTTTTTTTGGTAAATACAAGAAAAGAAGTAGAAATTTGATTAAAATAGTAATAATATTTAAATTTACTTCTTTGAAAATGTAAGAAAACTAAGAGGAAAAATGAAGATATTGATTTTCTTTGGGTTCATGGCAACTGAATAATGTATATGAATTGATCAGTCGACATGATTAATATTAGATTTTTCAGGCTTTACATATTCATTTGGCAAAAGAATGGAGAAAATACAAGCTTTGGTTGAGATTGAAATTTCCGTTCATTATTTTTTGGGTTTAGATTTGCAAAGTCATTATCGATGTGATGCATTGTGCTGTGTCTGCATAAAATTTGGAAGAAAAATGTAAATAATATGTAAACGAAAATTGAAACAAATCGCAAACGTGTGATATGAGGATAATACTTCCATCGCTTGATATAGATATATTTTTTTTATGTTAAGAATTACGAAGCGAATGGCGGCTACATTGAGATAGAAGTAGAAGGAAAATAAATAAGTGTGTAGTGTTGTCCAAGAAGTAAAAAGTAATTTGTGATGGACTGGCTATAGTATAACATATAGAAACATAGATGTGTGCAGCATTAGAGATAGAAAAGAGAAAGAGGTGGTTTGTTTGTGAGAATAAAAGAGAGTGACCACATAAGCGTTTTATCGATTAACAAAGAAAACTCTGTATTGAATGGATATACCAAAAGCTGTCCAGTCAATGTCGTCTGCCTGTCGAACGTTAGTACTGTTAGTAAGTAGTCTTGCAACATTCAGGTATTGAAATAGGAAGCAATGTACAAAAACTCGAACCCATGTGCAAATCATAACTGGTCTAAATGCTAATCCATCATTTGGCTTGAGCAACACAAAGTATGACACAACATAAATATGTGTTCATCGTTCATAAGCAAAAAAAAACAATGATTTCGATCAAACAATATTACATCTCTAAATGGTGTGTCTTCGTAATTTTCTAAGACTGCAAATTTTGATGACAATAAAGCTGAGATAATCGAAATCAAGAGCAAACATAAGTTTCGGTAAATGAAAAATAATGTTGATGACCAAATGAGGAGTAGAAGACCAGCTACGAGAAGCACTGCACTTTGGAGGGCTCGCGATTGCGCGGTCTGGTTGTTGCGTATGCCCATTGCCATCAAAAAAACACAAAAAATCATACAGGATAAGAAAAATAAAATGAAATAGTCAAAATGAAAGGTAACAACAAAAATAGATAGTAAGCTTTTCTCTTTTCGTTTTCTTTTCGTATGGAAATTAAAAAGGAGAAAGAGAAAAAGATAGAGAGAGAGTAAAAACACACAGAGAACGATTAAATAAGAGAGATTAATTCATCGAGAACAGCGAATACATTCGTCGTCTTCATTTTATGGCTGTAGACATCTAGAACAGGTGGCTGCATAAAAACAGTTATTATTCGGTGTTCAGGAAAATTATAAGTTTGCTATTCGTTAATAATCTAAATAGAGATAGATAGATACAAAGAGAAGTAGATAAAAAGGGAGATAGCTACTAATTGCATGCAGTAAATATTAATTTTGTTTCTTTGATTTTAGTTCATTAATTAATTACGGTTGATCTGAAGAAAAGGATGAAAAGATAAAACAATGATGTATGATGTATTATTAATTTGATGTGGCGTGTCTTTCTTCTTTGACTCTTTTTTTTTTCTTCAATTTTGTATTGACTGTTTTTGTGTGTGTGTTTTTATGTGTGTTTCTTTTTTTCTTATATTTTAAGGTCGATACTTTCGTGAGGTCGTAATGGAATTTATGTAAGCTACACAAGGTAGGCCACTCGAGACGCGTTTTATCGACTATTCTATTGGTTGTTGTGTAATGCATGCCTTTATACAAGGGTGTATTGTCGACGGGTTCTCTTACCCGAGCTGCTATCGAAGTGGTCGGTTTCTCAAGCATATCCCACAGCCATTTTTGATATTGCGAGCACTTATCTTCACCGAACTCCTCTTCGTCGCGCTGCCTAAGAGACTCTGCCTCCTTGCGCATCTCTTCGTGCACGTGCTCCTTCCGTTGGTGGTACTTGTGCTGGCAGCATGATTCTAGATACAGTTCGTCCACACCCCAGTACTCCAGGTCATCGCTGAAAGCTAGCACGCACATCTCATCAACTAAATGCAATTTGCCGGTCCTGTAGAAGTTCAATATGGAACTGAAAGATTTCGGGTGGCGATCGAAGAAGTACTCGTTGTCTATAAGGGAGTAATCATCACAGAGTTCACTGAGGGATTCGTGCGTATTGCAGTCCCGGAGGCGGCCAAGGCGAGTATGCGGCAGACGATCAAGCGTCCTCCAGAGGACCTCGTGCTTGACGCCGCCGACGTTGATGCATACCCGACGGTTGACCGCCTTCGAGCGCATTATCATGAAGGGCTCGGGGGGCAAGGAGGACATGGAACGCGAGTAGGGCCTCTGCAATTGTAGAGGCAACGATTGCGGCATCGGTGGCGCCGACGGCGGAGAGGTCTGCATCGGATAGGCAGAGGCCGCACCGACGACGACGCCTCCACCTCCGCCTCCACGCACTTCTCTTCCTCTCTCCCCCATCTCCGCCGCCGCCGTCGTGTTGTCCCACCGCACGGCCAGCCCATCGCCGTCCCGGTCACCCACCATGGACGGTTGGCTGGGTGGTGCTGTGCTAGCCGTGCTGGTAGGTCTTCCCCGTCCTCATCCACCGCTACCTTCACCTCCACTTCTTTGGGTCATCCTGATCTGCAACACAAACAAAAACGTATACTCATTAATTTAAAATTCCACCACTAACATAATTATAATTAACATCATTAATCATGAAGTCTTTCGGTCATTTGTACAAACAAATTATCGTATGATTTGTTAATATTCAAATAATCATAAATTTATTATAATAGTAAATATAATTAAATATTTTATAAAAGGCAGACAGATCTACTGCCAATAGCTCTTTGTTCCATATTATAAACTAAATAAACACAAGTTGTTGTTTGTTATAAGTAGACTTAGCGAAGACGAAACCGATATCAATAGACGAAACTCTATTTTCTCTTATCTGAATCTTTATAGCCTATATCAAATTGAACCCGATCAATCGGAAAGAATCTGCGGAAGAAAAATAATATAAGACCATATGTTGTTGGGCTACGAGTGTCGTGTGTGTTTGCGTTCTGTATCTTTGGATCTTTGCAGAGAATTGATTGAAATACTTCCTACATCTTCGCCCCCGATAAGGATGTTCCCCGGGTCAAAACAACATTTCCTATATTAAAAATGTCATATTGTTTCCCCTTTAACGGTCGACCGTTGAAATATAACATCGACGACCGGAGCCAAGACCCCACCGACTCGGTCAATAAATATCCCCTCGGGCTCTTATTTTCCCATAAGATATCGCCAAGTTTCCTTTCGCAGCTCTAATCAAAGGACTCGCATAACACACTCCATACCACTATAGGAATGTTTTTCGCTTCGCCACAATCCACAGAAGATAAACAGATATACGTTCAAAAGGAATAAAGTTGCAAGTTTATAGTAATAGTAGTTCTGTGCAGAGGCGGAAGCTGGATATAACTCACGAAGCAATCTTCACAGCGTCGATAACAGAGAACTATTCCTATGATTTACACGCTGTTTTTGCATCCTAGCAACAGTAAATCAAATATCGAACAAGCTAGATTAAATACGAAGAAAATCAATTGTGAAACTGTATCAGGCTGTATGATGATTAGTGTGTATTTCGTGAAATTGGGTCGTAAACTCTGCTGGTGCGGGAAAAAATTAAAGTTTTTACGTTCTCTCGCCGCTGTGAGCATAATAAAATTTTGCTGAAATTATTTCTGTAACGACACACCTGCCTGAAAATACGGTTTAAAATTCACGTCGAGCTGTATTATTATTTTTTTGTTAACGTTGTAGCTGCTTGTTATTATTATTTTTTTTCAGTATTACCTCAATACTTTATTGGCTGAACATTCGAGATTTTTGTAATCTTTTTTTCATTTGCGTTCATCGAGCGTCGCCACGAAAGGTGGTTTCTATTACGGTCCCTTTAAATGGATAATAAAGATCTGCTTAAAAATAGCTTTTTAGTAGTTGTTAAAGCCGCGACTCGGCCGTAAAATCGTCATTTCTATAAGGGAATCGCCGATAAGGTCGACGTAATAAGTTCTTACCCTGGTAACAAAATGCATATAAAAGCGAAAAGAAACTAACGGCACCCTCGACGCATACTTTATTTAATCAGATGACAAGTAATTGATATATTACTTCGTTTCGAACGATAAAACTAACAGTATTTTCTTTACCTCACTTACAGCAACATCAAATTAACAAGCTTAATTTAAACAGTAATTTAGTTTCAATGCTTTTACTTCAATGATTTATTATTAAAAGATAACAGTTATTAACTAATAATAGCGTAATTATTTTTCCTAATATTTTTACTTTCTTTTAATTATTTTTATCTGCTTCAAAATAGTTTCAATCAGTTATAATACGAGCAATGTAAATACATTCTTACTGATCCAACATCAGTCACTTCAATCCACTTATCCTACCTTGAACTCAATAGTGTATACGCACCATAATATGGTAAATATCATTTAATTTCCAATTTTCATGTAAAACATATTTTATGTCTTATTGACAATTTTTTACTGTCAGTTGAAAATTTGTTGACAAAAATCGAATTATTCCTATTTCGTCTTTTATTTTCAATGTATATTATATTCAATGTTGTATACTCATCATAATATACCAAATTTTATGTTTTAATGACAAATGTTTACTATCAGTTGAAAATTTGTGCACAAAAATAGAATTATTACTATTTCATCATTTACTTTTCATTTATATTATACTCAATAGTGTATACTCACCATAATATAGTAAATTTCATTAATTTTAAAATTTTCAAGTGTAACTTATTTTATTTCATATTTACAAATTTTAACTGTCAGTTGAAAATTTGTGGACAAAAATCGAATTATTATTATTTCATCCTTTACTTTTCATTTATATTATACTCAATAGTGTATACTCACCATAATACAGTTTTATGTTATGTTGACAAAATGTAACTGTTAGTTGAAAACTTGTGAATAAAAATATTTATATTAAGATATCTAAGAATAGAGAAAAGGTGGTGTACTTATGCAGAAAAACTTCAGTTTGGTAAAAAAATGTCTAAATAAATATTTGTTAAATATGCACAAGAAAATATTAAATGAAAAATTAGTTCAAATATATCGTGTTATAATGTAATGAAATGCATTTTAAAGCGTGCGTTCTATAAAACGTTTATTTTTTTATTATACGTTTATTTTTTTTACTATGGAATTAGTTTAGGTAATCGCGATCTGCGATCGAATCATTTAATTTTCTTCCTAATCAATCTTAAAGTGTGCCACACGCACTGTTTGTGGTCAGTCAGGCTATCTTAACTTAACCGTCTAATATATCTACACAAACGAAGGAAACGCATAGGTGATATACTGCACGCTCAAATTCCATTAGGAAGAGTAACTAAATTATACAATTTGCAATTACAACATCTTTGTTAACACTGAACCTACCACTACTGGTCAATTTTCAAGTATTTAAACGTTATTATTTCGCTATCAAACTTTAAAGCTTTTCATAACATTTTTCATTTCATTTCATACAAATTTGAAACAACGAAGGAAAAATTTCAAGGCAGAATTTTTTATTTCAGGTAGCTACCAAGAATTGCCGGATAAAAGAAAATGTACAAAGACTATCAACAAATAAAAGTTCAGATTGATACGTACGAAAAATTATTGTAAAGGTTACAAAACTATGAAAATCTATGAAGTGAAAAAGATATATATATATTAAAATTAATTTTTATTTACGTACATATAAAGTGTATATAAATGAAAGAAACTAAATAAGTACAGGTCAATTTGACCGGTAGAAAAACGAATAAAAGAAGTGTGAGTAGATTTAACACTATATCTGTTAAGACTGCAAGTAAAAATTAGTGAATACAGTAGAACCTCGCTTAACGAGTTTAATCCGTTCCAAAAATTCCGTATTTTTACTCGTATAGTGAAACATATTCAAACATACATATAATATGTGTACACAAGTTTTAAAAATGATGTAGCAGGCGCGCAATCCTGGAGTTCTATACTCATCGTCACTCGTTATGCGAAACGTCGCTCGAGTCATTTTTCGTACAATTCATTTTGCTAGTTAAGCGAAATGCTCGTTATGCGAGATGCTAGTTAAGCGAGGTTCCACTGTGGTCAATAAAAATGATAAATAAAAGTTATATCACATTTCAATTACAGTAATTTTCCTATAATATATTTTCTTTTATTCAACAATGAGAAAGCTACTACATACTCAATATAATTTTGCTTTTAACTATTGCAGATTGAATCTATGGAATGTTCATTCTTGTTAAATTAAACACTAATCGTAAGTAACTAAATCTAAGAATTTTTTTTTTTTTTTTAATAATTTGATGTGAAAAGTGTAAATACAAAATTTAGTTTCTAAAAATATGTTAAAAAAATGTGAATAGTAGAGATATATTCAAATATTCCTACTATTATGTTTATTCAAATTCTATAAATTTATGTTTTTTTCATTACTGTACAAGAAATTTGTCTCAAAAAGTGCAAATTACCAAAAATCAAACAAATTTTCAGTAAATATTTCTATGAAATCAAATTTGTTTAAAAAAAAATGTGAATGAAATGTTTCAAAAAATATCAATTACAGATATGTTTTAATAAAGTTTTTTTTAATAAAGAAATGTTTTCATGATTTGCCATCAAATTGAAACGAAATTAAGACTATTGAAGAAAATTTCTTGGTGATTGCTTTGTGAAATTCATCAAAAATTTAAATAAAATATATATTTTTATATCCAGTTTTGGTAATAGATTTCTAAGAAGATATGTGGATTTAGACAAGTCACTGCAAACAAGTTTCTTGAAGAATACACAAGGTAAGCCAACAGTAATTATCTAACAAATTTGTTCTAATTGTTTGAATTAGATGGTGCATTGGATAAGACGTTTTACGAAGATAAGATCAATGAACTCGTACATCAGAATCGTAAAGGAGTGGATGAATTGTCGCGTGTGAAATTGCAGCTGGCTTATGCAGAAGAGCAAGATGAAATTCTTAACTATTAACGCCGTGAGTCCAATTCGTTTTTCTGTTATTTCTTTGTTTTCAGTGAACACGAAGTGAATGAGAATTTACAGAAAGAAAGGACGGACTGCGAAGATTTGCGCGATGCGTCTTTGAATGCGAAACAACAATTGGACAAACTGGTCAGGCATTTGAGCAGTATGGAGAAGGAAAACGCCAATTTGAAGCAGCAAATTAAAGATATCTAAAAAGAAGTAAATTTGCGTAATTTGAAAAGGTTTTATTTTTCGAAGTTCTTGATTCTTATTGTTTTACAGAAACTGCAGTGTGAGGAGAAAATCGTTCGCATCCTTGCGAAAATGAAAGAGACTATGAGATCGTTAATAGAGTTACAGACTGAGTAAAACTTTAAAGACAAAGAAGTACATTAAGTATTATAATTTTTGAAAACTGTAGATTTTCCATTAAATATAAGATCTAATAGAGATTTCACTGAATAAATTGATCGATTGAAAAGCAAACTTCTAATAAAAAAAAAATGTTCATAGTATATTAGTTCAGGTCTATCCGCAGTATTTCCGAGCACAAGTTGATTTAGAGGAAATCGT